ACCTCTTGTCTCGATTGACTCAGTCATGTTCAGGCCATTTTCCCACCAGAGTCTCTTCAGTACTGGAACCCTTTGCTGAGAGAATCCCCCCAGAACCCCTCAAGGCCTGGCATTTGAGGATGCCCACACTCTGACCCATACCTCCCTTGCCCTCTTTTGCTCTCGCTGCTTCCTCTATGGCAGACTAGTGCCATGGACCTGTGATGAGTGGCTCTTGGGGTCCTTCCTGTCATACTAGCCTACACTCCTCCCTGATTCCAACCTCTTCAAGCTGCTCACATTTCCCCAAAATGCTCATGACTCACACACTTCCCTCTGTCTGCCCAGCAGACCTTCCTGCTCCTTCTCTGCCTGGAAGAATCAGACTCATCATACAAGGCTCAGATGTGAAGTTACTGGTTCCGTAGCTCCTCCCCAGCCCTCCTATGCATTCCTGTTACCGCTCTAGGTCATGACTCTGTTGTAACCCTCTTCACAGTACTGACCCTCCCGTAGATCGCCCCACTGCCATCTTTCTACCCTTTCTACTCTCCATCCAGGGCCCCAGCCAGAAACTTGCCCATTCAGCAAGAGATTGGCCAGCCCTGGTTTAGTGAATTGATTCCTTTTGGAGTTCAGTCTCTCCCTCTTTTCTTTCTCGTTTTACCCACTACCCAGATATTGGCAAGGGAGAGAGGTAGTTCTAGAAGAAAACTGGAAGTACCCTGGAAGGTATGTGGGTGGAGGCTGCAGGCTGGAACTCTGACCACTCCCAGGCCATGCTGAGTCATATGGGGCTCCCCCTTCTGGAAAGACAAAAGAAGTGCAGTTTCCCCAAAGACACCAAGACCCTTTCCCTGCCCAGCCCCGCCCCCTCAGCCCCTTACAAGATCTACACTCCATCTCTGTCCCTAAAATGTTGGATAACAGATCACTGGGCCTCTGCTTCCTTTCTGCTATTCATGGTGAGGGTTAATGTCCCTTCTACCACCAGCAGCTTTCTCTGTGTTGGATGGGCATTGTGTTTATGACACCTTTGTGAGTCATCAGGAGGCAGAATGGTGCCTGGCTCAAATTCTGCCTCCACCAGCTGTGTAACATGGGACAAATCACTTAATCTCTCCAAGCTTCTGTGTCCTTATCTGTAAGGTAGGAATCATTCGAACAATAGTAATGTCTTCCTAGAGCTGTTGTGAGGGAGGATAAAGACAGTAGTGAGGTATGAAGGTCATGGCCCCCAAGTAAGAGTCCAGTGTGTGAGCCCCTATGAGAACAACACTGACGATGGGTTAGTCCCTGCATCCCCACTCTCACCTGTGATCCCAAGAAGACTAGGAGACACAGCATCTTTATCCAGGCGAAGGACTCCTGAGTGGATAGGAATAGAAAAGAAATGGAGTGGAGATTAAGTTTATACATCTGCATGCATGTGCCTGCGCCCACATGGACCTGGAGGAGCCATCTGAGCCTCTGAAGCAGATGACTGTGTTTCTGCTTGTCCCTTCTGCACCTTCCAGCCCTGAGACAATGACCACCCGGAAAGCTTTCTGCTCCCGTAAAGATTTATAGCCTTGGAAACCCTATACAGAGTCGCTATGAGTCAGAACCCGACGGCACACCACCAACAACTTGGTTTTGGTGGCTTGTTCTGATTTAAAGACCCCTCTCTCAGCCCCCTGGTCCCTAGGCCTAGTACCTTCCTGCTCTTTCTCTTGGTCTTGTTTTCAGGGTAGGAGCTGCCATCACTAAGTGTGGATAACCACCTGTTCTGTCCCTGCTCCCAAGCATCTTTGCACAGTAAGCCTATCTTCCAAGGGGGGTTATGAGCAGCATTTTAGGCAACAGTGACTGAGGAAGAGGAACTGTTGGGGAGAAGGCATCCACAGAGATTTCTCTGTGCTCCAAAATCTTTCCAGGAAGGAAGATCATACTGGGGCTGGTTTTACAGGATGATACAGAATTAATCTCTGGACTTCAAGTTACTACTTCCAGCGAGGATGCAAAATGCTCTAAAGGTGCCCTGTGTACTATAACCTGGGCCATGAGAACAGTGTGGTCCTTGTCTCATCCAGAAGGGAACCCTAGAACCAATGAGGAGGCAGAGAATCAGGGAAGGGTTGGATTAGTGGCATCCTGAAACTGTGCTAGGATAAGAGGATCTCTCTTTTCCTACACCTGGTCTAGTCTCATAACAAGTCATTTAGGAGAGACTGTGACTCAGGAGTTCCACATGGAAGGAACTTGAGATGGATCCCTGGTTTTACAGCTCAGGAGACATGAAGCGGGTGAGTGGTGGTGCCCTGCCCACATCAATGGGACTTTAACAGTGAAAAAAGCAAGGGCGATGGAGCTAGGTAGACCTGGCCAATTACTTCACCTCTTTCTAAGCCTCTGTTTGCTCAGGGATTAAATGGATCTGATATTACCCACCTCACAACATTGCTATAAAGGTCCAATAGGCTAATGCCTAATAGGAGCTTTGTATATGTTGGACGCTGAAAAAAACATTAGTTCTTGATGTGGCTGGAGAAGGAACTGTCAGCTCTTTGCCCTTTTTCAAAAGAGCTCGTCTCCTGTGCCCTGTGCCCCTCTAATGGTCTCAAATGATAGGTGTTTCTGCTAGGAAAAGGAGACCTCTCTGCTCAAAGGAGAGGTTAAAATACAGGCATAGGATTCCTGCCCAGTTGCCACCTGAATTATTGATGTGCTTGTTCCTGATCAAGGTACCTCCTCATTCAACACACAAATATACATACCCCGTGGAAACCGCCCCCCAATTCCTAGATTGCAAAACCATAACACAAACATCACCTTTACAAGGTCACACATAGCATCCTTTCTAAAACCCAAATACACAAAACATTAATCAGATAATACACACCAGGAGATATTTAGGCCTTCCTATGCATTCTCAGACATATGTAGGCACACATACATACAAACAGGCTCCCACACAAAGCTTAGGGAAGTCTTTAACATAGGGTAGTCTATTTAATTCTTATAATAGTAGAGGTAGTTTGCTGTTTGTACCTCCTCATTTTACAGATGAGAAAACTGAGGGTCAGAGAAGCAAATCAAGATCCCTGAGGTCACACTTCTAGTCTAATGCAGACACAGGTGCATGGATTATCTGTCCCTAGGAGTCCTGATGTGGCACTGTAGGACAAGCACTAGACCGAATGGTTGGTTTGAACAGCAAGGTCATTGGTTCAAACTCACCCACCACTCCTGAAGAGCCCTAAACAGGGTCTCTATGAGTCAGAACTTACAGCACTTAGCAACAACAACAAGCTCTTCTACCCCACTTATTTCTATAAACACCATTCCAACTCAGCTTCCCTTCTACCCCAGCTGGTTCTGCAAGCACTCAAGGCAAGCACTGTTTGGGAAGTCTGTGGTCAAAGACGCAAGAAATGGCGTTTGGCAGAAGTGGTTGGTAAATTATGACAAAGAACCGGACAGGTGATTAGAATCCATGTTCCTAAGATGAGGGAGGCAGCAGACAACATCTTCTGCAGCTGTACCACCCGCGTGAAGTGTCAGTCAGGCAAGGACTGCTCACTGGCTGGCAGCTGGGCCATCATCAAGGACTGGTTTTTAGCGCGCACTCAGAACCTCATCCTGCCTCTCAGGAAAGCCTCTCTTTGAGTCCATTTCTCATCCTGCAGCACTGAATGACAGGCCAGCCAACCTTGTTTTACAAGAAGAGTCGCCACGCCCTCTGGCTGATGTGTCCGCCGGGACCAGGGTCTCGGGTTTGAGATTCCAGTGGAGACACTTTGTTCCTAGGCCCTCACCGGCGCCCCACCCAGACACACCGCAGCATGTTCCTTGGTACGTAAGCCTTTTAATAGAAAAACAACAGCAACCCTGTTCGGGTCGGATAAGTGTTATTTATAATTCATGCGCTCATCTTTGAACCTTTCAAATGAAACCTACAGCGACTTCTTTGAAAGAAAGAAATGCCTGGATCCTACTCAAATAGTCGCGGGTTTTCCAAGGACTGACAAGCCGCTGCACTCAGTAAATTACGTGCGCCACATTTGTTTTTGATTATTTGCGTTGCAGTTGGTTTGTGAAATTAAACAGAAGAGTTTTTTTTTGTTTTTTATAAAAAAAGTTTATCCTCGGTGTGGGATACATTTGATCCCAGCAGTGTCCCTAGAAGGAGCTACGCTATTCGTGTGCTATTTTTTCATTCGAATCCGTGTCGAATTAAGAAAAAGCAAGCCAAGCACCTAATAAAGACTCATGCCCAGGAGCGTTTTTTTGGGTTCTGTGTTCTGGAGCTACCCACCTAAGACTCCAACTTGGAGAAGTTTTCCAGAGTAGGTGAGGGGTTAGTCTAAAAAGAGTCGACACGAACGCAGGTGATCATTTCCTACCCTCTCCCTCTAGCTTGCATCAAAAGAACAAAGGCGCTCGAGAGGAGAAAGGTGACCAGCTGGACAGTTTTGGTCACATCCAAACGGAGTCTCCCCTTCCACTAACTCCTTCGTCCCAAGAGAGTGTTTTTGATTTCTTAAAAATTGCATAAATGAAGGAAGTTTTTACAGGAGACTCCTTCACCTCACCCGAAGTATCCATCACCTACTCCGCTCAGACGTGCCTGAGGAGACCGCCCCGTAAGCTCAAAGGAAGCTCAGAGCTGCAGCAGCCGGGGAGAAACTCCGCAGTGACTCTAGGTCCAACCCTGATCGCCAGACCCGGGGCTGGGGAGAGGATCCTTGTAGGTTTCGGGGGAGGGGGCTGCGCTCCATTGTTTACTCCGGACCAATCAGGGTTTGGCCATTTCTTTCCAACCAATCTCCCTTCACCCCCGCCTTTCATCCAACCCACCCCGCCCATCAACCCCAGGTCCCCAACACCTCCCCCGCATGCCCAGCGGTTCTGGGGAAGCTTCGTGACGCCACAGGTCCCGCCTCCAGCTCCGGCCCGGGGCGAGTGCGTGCTGACGTCATGCTGCGTGCGGTCCGGTGCGGAATCTCGCCTTCAACTCCGCGGGGCAGGAGGAGTTAGTTAGCAAAGAACCGAGGCTGGGCGCGCGACCCTAGTCCTTCTGCCCCTGGCCGCACACTTTACGCAAATCTCTTTTCTGCATGGTGGATATTCTTTTTCATTATCCTTTTCTGGGTGCTATGGGAGATCATTCCAAGAGTAAGTCTTTCTCTGTGTGTGTATGCGTGTGGTTAATATGCAATATTTCTAAAGCAGAAGGATGTTTAACGGATTCTACAAGTGGCTTTTATTTGACAAGATACTTAAGGAGAGAAAAAATTAAAACGAATGCATTTCTCCTGCAACGCTGCTTATCCTTTGGAATTCCGTTGTTTTATTTCCTAACTAAACATTATTTCTCAAGCTGACTAGTCTGACCTCAGGCTGTGAAATCGGCTTCTGTTTTGCGCCAAGGCAACTAGGTTTGATTTAGGGATGTAGGTTTTGTTTGTTTATTTGTGTGTTAGCCTTTCAATTAAGGAAGATTTCTCTAGCATGACCAGGTATATTTAAACTAAGAAGTGTCAGAGAGGACGAGCAGAGACTCTGTTAATAGCCGATGTGTCTGGGCTGGGATAGGAGGGCGGAAATGCCGGGACATCACCGTCCGTTTTGCTGTGGTGGCGTCTGCAGTGCCTAGATATCTATTTACTCTTTCTTCTCACCTTCGTGTTAGCATTCAGTTACAAGATGGATCGATAAACGACTGTGCTTCCCAGTTCATGTAATAACGAAAATATTTCGGGGGGAAGGCCAAAAGCCTTCAAATTCAGCGGATTTGGTTTTTCGTTTCCAAATTGTCTGGATTTCTAGAAAGCCTATCTCCTTCCTTTTCCTTGTGGTTCCGATTCTTGAGCGAGAGATCGAGCGGGTTGGGTTGGGGCTGGAGTGGCCGAGGCCCGCCGGGGTCCTGGCAGCCAGGCCTGATGCGGGCCCCGCGCCCTTCCCCGCCAGAGAAACCCGGGACGGCCATGTGCGTGGGCTGCGGGAGTCAGATCCACGATCAGTTTATCCTGCGGGTGTCGCCGGACCTCGAGTGGCACGCCGCCTGCCTCAAGTGCGCCGAGTGCAGCCAGTACCTGGACGAGACCTGCACGTGCTTCGTGAGAGACGGGAAGACCTACTGCAAGCGGGACTACGTCAGGTGAGGCCCGCCGGGGCCCCGGCTCCGGGATGGCAGCCCGCCCGCGCTCCCCATCCCCAGACGCACGCCTGGCCAACGTATCCCCTTGAGAGGGGGTCCCCGCAGCCTCCTCGTGGGCCACAGAGTGACCAGGGCGCGCGTACTCCTAGGTGGGAGATCAGCTCCGGGGAGGATAGGGTGGCCGCAGGGCGTGGGCTGGGCCACGGCCGGGCGCTCATGCCATCCGCACCTCGGGTCCGCAGGCTGTTCGGCATCAAGTGCGCTAAGTGCCAGGTGGGCTTCAGCAGCAGCGACCTGGTGATGCGAGCGCGGGACAGCGTGTACCACATCGAGTGCTTCCGCTGCTCCGTGTGCAGCCGCCAGCTGCTGCCCGGAGACGAGTTCTCACTGCGGGAGCACGAGCTGCTCTGCCGTGCGGACCACGGCCTCCTGCTAGAGCGCGCCGCGGCCGGCAGCCCGCGCAGCCCTGGCCCACTCGCCGGCGCCCGCGGCCTGCATTTACCAGGTAAGCGACGCGCGCCGGAATCTCTGCCGCCTGCCCCGGTGTGAACGGAGTGAGCGGGTGTGTGTGTGTGTGTGTGTGTGTGTGTGTGGTTCCTTTGCCCGTATTGTGTGTTTTTCGGTGCGAACGCAGAATTGTGTGCTAGTTGCGTGTGTGTGTTCCTGTGTACTGGAAGAATTGTGTGTGTCAACTTGAGCCGGGAAGTGTGTATGAATGTGCAAGTGTGGGAAATTGTGTTTTCTGTGGTTAAGAAACTGAGGGACAGGTTGCTGGGAGCAGGAGGGTGTATGACAGACAACAGGGAATCTTCAGGGATGCCTGTCAGAGGAGCTTGCTTTCGGAATTTCTTCCAGGAATAAGCATTATTGTCAGAAAGGAAAGATAAGTTTACCCTGGACGATGTGTGTAAGGCATCCAGCTCTTAACACCAGAGCTGGGCCTAGGCTCAGTCAGCCAGGAGCCCCACCAGTAAAGATGACTTTGAAGGCCACCCACCTGTCAAAGAGGGGGCATCTGTGTGATTTTTGAGGCTCGGTTTGATTGGCAATTGAATTGAGTGTTTCTTGGTGGAGCCGGGAGTATTAAGGAGCCAGGGACCAGGCCCTCGTCAGGAGCTGCCAAGGAAGGGGTCTGAGTGTGTGGTTAAACAGGCAGGATTGGGGAGAAGCAGCAGTTTCTTGGGTCCAAGCAGGGTGAGATCCCAGTAGGTAACCACAGGCCTGAAACGATCTCCAGACCAGGCTTAGTCTCTTGGTGCTGTGTGGCTTTGCAGCACTCCCTACCCTGGACCATGGGCTATTTATAAATATTTATCCAGATCTAGAAACGTTTGGAGGGGATCTAAATCGAAAAAGTGCGATATATATGCACGAGTGTAGAGACACAGCCCTGTGGGCATTGTGCACACCCTCTTCCTCCATCTGGAGAGTCTTGACTGAGGGGGCTGTTAGTTGTTTGTTGCGGGTTGCCGGCTGCCTGAATCAGGCCCTGCTTCCCCAGGGCCGAGAGAACCTGAAACCAAGCAAGGAGACTCTAGTCCCGAGGGTGGACGGCTGCTGGGCAGGGGAACCTGGAGCCTAGCGAGAAAAGGCTGGAGGCGGAGGTCTGAGGGCGGGCGGAAGAAACCCGTCTCCTCTCTGGATGCCCGCCCAAGCCGTAACCGACCCGGGTCCCAGCGGCCTCCGAACCAGAGAGAGCCCCCGGAACACGCGCCACCCCTTCCCCCGACCCCCGGAGCAGCGTGCTCGCCTCCTTCCTCTTCCTCATACACTCCGACTTCTTCCAGAGGGTTTCATTGATCAGCGGGGGCCCAAGCAGGCTCTTCCAGGGTCGCGTGTGGAGAGGATGCATGGCCGGGAGCAGCCACTCCCATCTCGCGGTGGCCTAGCTCTAAGCTCCGGGGCTCGACTTGGGCTTTGGGGAGATGGCTGCGAGGCAGCCTAGCGGAGGAGCGAGGGGAAGGGACGAAATGCACAGCTCCCTCCGGGGTAAGGTGAACGGAAGGAAAGGGAGATGAACAGTAAAACGAAATAAACGAACAAAACAAAACTAAACGAAATAAGGCCCCAGAAGGCTCGGGCCGCGCGGCCGGTGGGTCGCAGCCCCTTGGTCATTTCTCGCCCCTCGGTCTACGTAGACCCCGGAGCGGCCCGGCAGCCCTCGCTGCGACCGCACGTGCACAAGCAGACGGAGAAGACAACCCGCGTGCGAACCGTGCTCAACGAGAAGCAGCTGCACACACTGCGAACGTGCTACGCCGCCAACCCGCGGCCGGACGCACTCATGAAGGAGCAGCTGGTGGAGATGACCGGCCTGAGCCCGCGGGTCATCCGCGTCTGGTTTCAAAACAAGCGCTGCAAGGACAAGAAGAAATCCATTCTCATGAAACAACTGCAGCAGCAACAGCATAATGACAAGACGGTGAGAGGCTGCGCGGCCCCAGGGATCCGGACCGGTAGGGTGTGCGCTTCTCTGGGCCCGCTCTCCTTCTGGGGAGATTCAGGGGGAAACTGGCCTCTCCAAACCTTGTGTGCTTGTGCCTTCACAGTAAAGCCTGCCTTAGAGTTTAAAGGTCCAGTAATTACTGCATCTGAGGTCGGGTCTGCTCCCTGCCCGCCGGCAAACCCAGTGCCAGGTTGTGTCCTTCCCTCGGCCTTTCCTTGGCATTTCTGGCGAGGAATGAGAGCGCAGGCCTTGGATTTCGTTCTCGTGTGGTTGACTCCCCACACTGAGGCAGAGCAACGGGGTCGGCCTGCAGGCCCCGGAGTATTCTGCCCCCCACCCCACCCCGCAGCGCTGCAGGCTTTAAATCGTGCGCCCTTGCTTCGGGTCCCAGTCTCTTATGTTGGCGGAAAAGACAAGATCTAACTCGAGTGTTCTCACCTTCCTTGCCCCGCAGAGCCTCCAGGGACTGACCGGGACGCCCCTGGTGGCCGGCAGCCCCATCCACCACGAGAGCGCGGTGCAGGGCAGCGCAGTGGAGGTTCAGACTTACCAGCCTCCGTGGAAAGCGCTCAGCGAATTCGCCCTCCAGAGCGACTTGGACCAACCCGCCTTCCAGCAGCTGGTGAGGCCCTGCCCTACTCCCCGACCTCGAGACTCCCACAGATCCTGCAGGAGGGATGGGGATGGAATAGCCCGGCACAGTGGCGATGTGGCTGAGGCTGGAAGGAGGGTGCTGAGATGAAGTGGGGGGCTGGAGGACAGCTCTCGGCAGTGGGGTAGCAGTGGGGAAGGGGAGTGGTTACAACAGCATTCCAGCGCACAGTTCGCTCTAAACTGGGTCTCTGGATTCAAGTGCGTGTAGGAGATGTCGCTGGGATTAACCAGCCTGCGCCCCAGCCCTAATCCCTGAGTGTGCGCCGGGGATCTGGTCGCCTTCTCAGCAAGCCTTTCGGTATGGCGGTGGCCGGTCCCCAAAGGACACTACTCCCTCCCACCCGTGGCACGAGCTCGGGCATGTCTTCACTCGTGCTTCCTTGGTGTCTTCGCTGCCCCAGGTCTCCTTCTCCGAGTCCGGCTCCCTGGGCAACTCCTCTGGCAGTGACGTGACCTCCCTGTCCTCACAGCTCCCCGACACCCCCAACAGCATGGTGCCGAGCCCTGTGGAGACGTGAGGGGGACCCCTTCCCGCCAGCCGGCGGACCTCGCATGCTCCCTGCATGAGAACTCACCCAAGCTCAGGCCATTCCAGCTCAGAAAACTCTCTCGCTTTTAAAATTCTTATTATTGTTATTTAACGAGAGAGCGCCGAGAAAGCGGTCAGGACAGCCAAAAGCGCCAGGGCGCAACCTGCTTTCCACCAGACTGAAGAGCCCGGCTCCAAAGACTTATTTTTTCAGAACCAGAATTTGAGATTTACTAGAAATTAGCTCTGCCCTCGCTTCCCCCACGCTACTGTGGCCGCTGGCGCCCTGTCTCTTTGCGCTACCCCGCCCATTCATTCACCCTGAGCGTGGAGAACACGCAGGGTCCTTCTCATGCCGCGCCAGCTCCGCGCTCGCCCACGGGGTCTTCTCCCCCCAAGCCCGCCCCCAACTCCTGGGCCTTAGAGGGAAGAGGAACGGGGAAGCCCCCAAATAACAGCCACGTAACCCCCAAGGCGCATGATTGCTGAGAGGGGAAATAGAAATGAGACTTTCTTTGAAAATATTTTAAATTATCAATCGACGGAGGACAGAGTGTGTGAGCCTTTGCCGAACAAACAAACGTAAGTTATTGCTATTTATTGTGAGAACAGCCAGTTCATAGTGGGACGGATATTTTGATCTTAATAAAAAATAATAATCAGATGCGAAGCTGCTCCTGTGTGCGATGGGTGCAGCGGGAGGGCTGGGCAAGGTAATGTCGGGATTTGGATTTAGTTCAACGAAAGTCAATCCACCGAGTCGGTGTCTGGAAGCCCGTGAGTTGAGCCCGCGCGTCGCGCGCCCTTATCCGCGTGTTCCCGACCCGACATGGGGCGGGCCCAGCGGCGATTGGGCGTCTCGCGGGGGCGGAGCTGCGTCCGTGTGCCCTCGTGGCCCCGCCGTGCGCGCGAGCTCCGGGCCCTCCAGGAGGCCGGCGCGCGCTTTTTGCGAGCTGCGGTCTGGATGCGGCGCAGTAGGGGCAGTTGGGGAGGGTGGGGCGAGCCCGTTTCGGCGGGAAACCAGCGATGGCCGCCGGCCTACGGTCAGGTTCTCGAGGGGCGGTCACATTCCCTCTACCTTGGGCCCTGCTCGCCCGGTTCCCAGAGCTGGTGCCTGCTGGGTAGTACCGCCGCCTCCAAGCCCAGGCCCTTCGCTCCTCTTTTGTCCGCGCCTCTTGCCCGGAGGCCCAGATCCTCATCCCCCGGGCGCTTGCCCACCCGCTCGCCTTCCCAGACCCCGTCGTCGTGCCGCGAGGCCTGCTTGCGGACTCGGAGCGAACAGGGCGCCGACCCCGGCCAGATCCGGCGGCCGTGACGGCTCGTCCTCCGCGTTGTCTCCAGAGTGGATGCGCGACGTGATCAATCTCGCTGCATTTATTAATTCCCCCGTCTAGACAGAGGAGAAGGCCGGGCGGCGTTCCTTATCTGCATTTGGCATCACCTGCAAGCGATACGCTGAAGGAGCCACAACAAGCCCCCGCTAGGATCGCGGCTGCTGGGGAAAATAAGTCCACCCAGAACCAGTCTGGCGTGTCCTTGGTTTATTTTCTTTCCAGACCCGAAATGGAGGGGGCGGGGGATGGCCCTGGTGGGAGGGGGGCTGGGAATGGCCTCTGGATATGCAGTGCTCAGGTCACTTGGTGTGACATTTCAAACCCCTGCGACTTGTTTTCTTGAAAACTGACTTTAGTGATCGCAGGAAATAACCGAGAGATACTGAATCTTTTCAGCAGGCCCCCGGGCAAGCACAAAAAACAAAAAACGGGAGGCTCGGGTTTTACCCTTCGCAAATTTTTAACCCTTTGGCAGCCTGGGACAGTTCTTGGCCGACACCAACCCTCGCTTGATGAACCTCCAAAAGTTAGTTGTGAGTCTACCGGCCTATCCACTACTCTATCGAAGAAATCTCTGATACTGAGTTTCCGTTTCCTTGTCCTTCGAGTTAAAATGACCCACAAATGCATCCCTCTTTGTCCAGGATTTGTCTTGAAAGAGGGCAACGCCCTAATTGGGTAGGGATAGTTGCCCCTTAGCTCAGGTAATGGCTGGTGAGGAAAATGTAACTGAGGGACAGCTGCAGTCGCTGGTGCGAAGAGTAGGTGTCTTCTGTTAGAAAGCCACAGGGTTTCCAGCAGAGCTAATGGCAGAATTCGGTGCCCACTCTTCCCCTTCAGAAATAGAAGACTTGCTGGCAATCATTAAAAGAAAATAGGAACGGGAAAACAGAACCACTTTTATATTTTACTTCTTGAAAGTCAAGGTGATGCTAGCAAAAGTATGAAAGGGAACATTCCCCTTCTTCAGGATTTAGGAAATGGTGCTGCAAACTTAGAGATAAGGGAAGAGATATGCAGGGTTAATGAGGACCAGCTTTACCTCGCAAGTGCCCAGAAACGGTTTTAATAAGCGGGCTGGGTTCTGTGAGGCTTCCTCTCTTAACGTAGACCATTCCCTCCCAAATAGAAATACAGACATATCCCCCCCTTACCTTCCAGTTGACCACTGGATAGGGTACTACACTTCCAAGAAATCTTACTTTAGAGTTCTGTTGACTGCATTCTGGAATAAAGAATTTTATTAAAGTTTGCTGATTATCAGCTCTGAATTTTCGCTTTTGACAGATTGTTGAGTAGAGTATTTTAATGCTATGAATGGAAACATCTGCCTACCTAATTACAGTCATGTCTCCCCCTATCATTCATAGATCACAAATCTCTGTTTGTTATTTATACCAGTGTGTCTGTTTTTGAATAATGGGAAATTGCCCGGATAAAAGGTGATTATTGTATGTTCGGGGGCTGCAGCTATATTACGATATAAAACATGACAAGCTTTTCTCTCTTGTAGTTTGTTTCTAGCCCTGGAAAAGGACTCATCATTTTCCTGGTGGGGTTTTTTTGGGAAAGGATTTGACTCAGAATCCCTATTACAAGGTTCTTGCTGAAGTGCCCCATCCAGGGTTGGTTAGTTACATGAATAAAGATCAGTTTTACTGGTTCCCAGGTCATCTTTAAACATCTTCTGTAATACCATAGGGACTTCCCTGTAAATGAAATTACCTGTAACAATTACAAGCGTAGTATTTTATGCTTACTGAACTTTTAAAGTGAGATCCCCAGTTGTGTAGTTAAAAACTCAATTCAATAAAAGAGGACATAGGTGGAAAATGGAAGTTACTTAGCTAGGTTCACTCTAGAATATTTCCCCAGAAGATTTACCTAATAATTCGGATAGCTCTATGTAATTGAGCCAGGAAAGGGATTCCCAGGGATGGAAAAGTTTATAGTTATTATACCACAAATTTAACACATATTGAAAGGCTGCCTAATTCCGGGAAATACAGCAGCCGTGTGGCCGGATTCTCAAGGACCTTTAATGTTTAATGGATTGTAGAACAGAAACCAGTCTTTCAATTTTAAATATAAAATAGCTTAAAGCTCAGTTTTGTCAGAGCTGCAAACACAGGGTTTAAATGAGACATTGTCTAAGATTGCTGTTAAGAATTGAATTATGTCCCCCCAAAGTAAGTGTTATAAATCCTAACCTCTGATGCTTTTGGTTATAATCCCATCTGGGAATGAGTTGTCTTTGTTATGTTAATGAAGCAGGATTGATGTAGGCTGTGTTTTGAGTCAATCTCTTTTGAGATATAAAAGAGATTAAACCAGTGAGCTAGGAAGCTGAGAAACCACAAGATTACCCTAGAGCAGAAGCGCAGAAGAGACAAGGATTTTCCTACAGAGCTGACACGGAGAGAAAGCCTTCCCCTAGAAGCAGGTCCCTGAATCTGGACTTCTAGTCTCCTAACCTGTGAGAAAATAAATGTCTGTCTATAAAACCACCCACTTGTATTTGTTACAGCAGCTCTGGGAACCTAGAAAATCCGATTCAAGCACTGCTGCCTAGGGCAAGGGCATACGGGGCCATATTTCTAGTTAACTCGGTTTTCCCACAAGGGTATTCACCAAAGAGAGCAAGAGAATTAGCTGAATAACAGTATGCTGCAGAGAGGAAACAATGAACAAGAAATAACTGTTTACAGAGACATTCCAATGGAGTTAATAATAAAAGCAGGAAATTCAGAAGGAGTTTATTAAGCTGATAATATAGGGAAGAATCCAAAAACCATACTGTCCGTGAGTCAATTTGGACTCTTAGTGGCCCTGAAGGACAGATTAGAACAAACGGCCCATTAGGATTTCCAAGACTGTAATCTTTCCCAAAGGAACTCTGGGAACATAGTGGTTACGAGTTGGGCTGCTAATCTCAAGGTCAGCAGTTTGAAACTACCAGTGGTTCCATGGGAGAAAGATGAGGCTTTCTGCTCCTGTAAAGATTTGTTGTTGTTGTTAAGTGCCGTGGAGTCAGTTTCGACCCATAGCGACCCTGAATAGGGTTTCCGAGGCTGTAAATCTTTACGGTAGCAGATTGCCTCATCTTTCTCTCGTGGAGCAGCTGGTAGTTTCGAACTGCTGACCTTCCGGTTTGCAGCCCGATTCGTAACCACTACGCTAGCCTTGGAAACCCTATACAGGTTGCTATTAGTTGGTCAGAACTGACTCCACAGCACATAACCACCAATCTTTCAGGAGTCCTGTTGTGGTGCTGTAGGAAAAGCACAGACCACAAGGTCGGTTTGAACAGCAAGGTCAGCGGTTCAAACTCAACAGTGGCTTCTCGCAAACCCTATACAGGGTGGCTATGAGTTGATAACACTCAAGAAAACAACCTTTATGGGAGGAAGCTGCCTCACTCATCTTTCTCCTGAATAGCAGCTGTATGGTTCAATAAGCTGAATTCTTAAACACGGCACCACCCACGTATGTTTTAGGGAAGAGTTGTTGGTGGAAGTGTCATTGAATCACTTCCGACTCATTGCGACCTGGTATAGGGTTTCCAAGGAGGGGCTAGTGGATTTGAACTGGCAACCTTGTGGTTCAAACCGACCTTGCAGTCCAGGTCTTATCCTATAGCGCCACCCCAGGAAGAGTTGTATTGTTGTTAGGTGCCATCGTCAGTTCTCATAGAGACCACAGGGTTTATACAGATGGGGATTCTGAGGAACTGCTGGTGAGTTTGAACCACCGACATTGCGGTCCAGTTCATTATCCTGCAGCGCCACACCAGAGGCTTGGAACTACGGGGCTGATGGATGCAAAGGTAAACTTTCTTGAAGATACTGGTATTCAGAGAAACCAGGATTGTGTGACCAATTACAACTAGTACCTTGCTGATGGAAAGCTGTGCATGGAGGATACAGAAAGGCGGAGCTATACTGAGAGTAAAAATAGAGAAAAAGGACACAAGGAAATCCTCAATTGCAATCCAGATGTGGAGATAGTTGGAAGAGTGGCTTTAATTTGCAAAGTACTTTTGGGGCTCCATCAGCAATCTTGCCAGATAGGCGGGAGTGTTGGGTGAGCCAGGCTCAGTCTAACCATTGTGGTCAAGGTCAGCAGCTGGTGGGAGAGGGCAGAAACTCACTAAAACTGAGGGTTTCTCCATTGGAAAACTGTTTCACTGGGTGGTTTAAGTACCAAAGACCGCTATGTTGGGGTCATGGCAGCGGGGAGAGAGAAAGTAAGAATGGGGATTGCGGTGAATATAATCACCTTCCCAGTTTGTTGAGATCCAAGAATGTTGAAAGCTAACAAGCAGC